CGTGCTCGACCAGTTGCCGCGCATCGCACCGCATCGCATTGCATCGCAGGTTCCCGGTCTACTGCCAGCCTTCAGCCTCCCCCTTCCACCTCCCATCACCGCCGCATCTTCCTCCGCCATCAACAGCTCCACGCAGCAGGCGACACACGTCGAGCACCAGAGACCTGCCTCCCGCACCACCCAAAAGCAAGGTACCTACACACATCCTAGGTCCCAGCCCTCCGTCCCCTGGTTTCCACTTCCAGCCCAGCCGCCGCCCAGCCCAGCCAGCCCTCCGAGAGCCCAAGGCCCTTGGCCCAAGGGTGTCACATCCCTCCGCTCCCTTTCTCCACAGCTCCAAAGTCACTGCTAACATTTCGCTGAGCTACAGCCTAGGTATCCGTACAAGACACACAGAGTCCACTTCACACGCGAACGCCCGCCCATCCGCAAGCTGGGAGCCTGCGACCACGGCCGCTCAGGGTGCTCTAGCCTCACTCGCCCCGTCGTCATTGTCACCCGCCCTGTCGGTCACTGTCGCTGCCACCACGAACTGCCCACTGCTTAGGCACAGCACAGCACAGCACAGCACCGCACCGCACCGCACCGCACCGCATCACTTCAGGCCCTCCTGCTTGCTTTGCTTCGCTTCACTGCAACAGAAACAGGGAGAGAGACGGTGCTGCAAAACCTGAATCACGATTCACCGCAAACGCAACCGCAGCCCACGCACCACCTACTGCCACCCAACGACCCTGTGCCCCGTGGTTACCTTTCAGTCTCTTGTCTCGCGACGCGAACTCTCGACCTGATCTTTGTCTCCCTCTCCAGTCTACTCCCATCGACGACACGACTTCAGACCAACTTATCCCAATCGAGAATACAATTCTATTCCTCTAGCCGCCGTCTCCGACAATCACCCTCGTCTCTCCCTAGCAGTCTTGTCTGCTACGAATACTCTTTTCTCTTTCTCTCCGTTGCCTTGGCACTCCGTTCCGTCGCACAAAATACCTTCCGCGCCCTCGCCCTGCACCACAAAACGCACCAGCACGGGTACTTACTCCTGTACAGCCTGTGTTCCGTACTGCCATCCCCGTTTATGTGCTGAGGCAGTAGTCGACACACACAACTACAAAGTACACACACCAGAGAGGTACCGGACTCACAACAGACTTAGCGTCAGCCTGCCTCCTTGTCCCGGCTCCCCCCTCCACTGTCGGAGCCTCTCCATTTCCACCTTCCGTGGGTCAGGCGTCAGTGTCAGTGTTCCAGTGTTCCATCGGCCTCGTGGGAACTAGTTCGCCTTTCCAACCCTCGCTCTGGTGACAAATCCCCGCCATTCATTCTGCCAACCTGACGAAACCCGACAACCCTACAAACTACATCACGACGACAAAAACACCAACGGCACCCACGATTTACGACTAGCGACTCGAGATCGCTTGCCATAGTCCACGAACTTTCTCCGACCGGGGATCCGAACCCCCTTTCCCTCTCCTCTGACCGAATTCACGCGAATCCACGATCCGCCGACCGTTTGCTCCCTTGCTCGCACATCGCAGCCGCCCATCATGAGGCCCGCTGCCCCCTCAATAGAGATCATGGCTACACAGTCAGCCACGCCGGACTCGCGATCCTCGTCGTCCACAAACTCGCCACTCCCTGCCGACAATGAGGAGTCAGACTTCTTCATCGCCGGCAACGATTCCCAATCATCACTCGGCGTCCCCAACATCGAGGACATGCAGGTTAGCGATGATCCGTGCCAACCCGCTGTCAACCGGCTCCCTAGCGAGATCCTCATCTCCATCTTCGCCAAGCTCAACAACTCAAACGACCTCTTCAACTGCATGCTGACATGCAAGCGATGGGCTAAGAACTCTGTCGACTTGCTGTGGCATCGCCCCGCCTGCACAAACTGGAAGAATCATTCGTCCATTTGCCTTACTCTGCAACTAGAGACGCCCTTCTTCGCATACCGCGACTTCATCAAGCGTCTCAACCTTGCTGCCGGTGGTCTCGCAGATAAGATCAGCGATGGCAGTGTCATGCCTCTGTCCGTGTGCACTCGTGTCGAGCGACTCACTCTGACCAACTGCCGCAACCTCACCGACCAGGGCTTGACCAAGTTGGTGGAAAACAGCTCCTCGTTGCTTGCCCTTGATATCTCAGGCGACGAGCACATCACAGACGTCTCTATCCAAACTATCGCCGAGCACTGCAAGAGGTTACAGGGTCTCAACATTTCTGGCTGCCGCTTGATCACCAACGACAGCATGATACAGCTTGCTGAGAACTGCCGGTTCATCAAGAGGGTATGTTTGCTCTTTGCTTCCCTTGCTCCTTTGCCTATTTTTTCTCCCTGCAGGCCTGGCCTGTATGCGCTTCGCGCTTGGCTTTTGCGCCCCGCATTGTGTTTTGGACATTCGCTGACATGACTCTCTTCTCCAACAGCTCAAACTCAACGATTGTGCTCAACTGCAAGACAATGCCATCCTTGCATTTGCCGAGAACTGCCCGAATATCCTCGAAATCGACTTGCACCAGTGTGCTCAGATCGGCAATGAGCCCATCACTGCCCTCATCTCAAAGGGCCAGTCCCTCCGCGAGCTTCGGCTGGCAGGCTGTGAGCTCATCGACGACAGCGCCTTCTTGACTCTGCCCCCGGCCAAGACCTACGATCACCTGCGCATTCTCGACTTGACATCTTGCGCCAGGCTGACGGATCAGTCGGTGCAGAAGATTATTGATGCTGCACCACGCCTCCGCAATCTGGTGCTGGCCAAGTGCCGTAACATCACCGACGTTGCCGTGAATGCCATCTCAAAACTCGGCAAGAACTTGCATTATTTGCACCTTGGTCACTGTGGCCATATCACCGACGAGGCCGTCAAACGCCTCGTGCAGCAATGCAATCGTATACGGTACATTGATCTGGGATGCTGCATTAACCTCACCGACGACTCCGTCACCAAACTGGCACAACTTCCTAAGCTCAAGAGAATCGGTCTCGTCAAGTGCAGTAGTATCACCGACGAGTCCGTGTTCGCGCTCGCTCGCGCCAACCATCGCCCCCGGGCACGCCGCGATGCGCATGGCAACATTGATGAATACTATTCGTCCAGCCTCGAAAGAGTCCATCTCAGCTACTGCACCAACCTTACACTCAAGGCATGTTGTCGCCCCATGTAAAGTTGCCGATTCCGCACACTAACATTATCGTAGAGTATCATCAAATTGCTTAACTACTGCCCACGCCTGACCCATCTCAGTTTGACAGGGGTCACCGCTTTCCTCAGAGAAGAATTCGCCGAGTTCTGCCGACCTCCTCCGCCTGGTAAGCCATATCTGTTCCTCGTTGTTGGTGTACAGATAAACTAACAAGACGTGCGCAGAATTCACGGATCATCAGCGAGGCGTCTTTTGTGTTTTCTCTGGCGTCGGCGTCACGAAGCTCCGCGACTATCTCAACACCTCTCCCGAATACGAGGGTCTTCGCGACTCTCCTGGTCCTCGCTTCCCAGGGCTTTCGAGCTTCCCTGCACGTCGAGCCGCCGATCCCCGCGCAACGGCCGCACACGCTGGACAGACCAACGGGGATGTTGAAGTTGACGAAGCCGAGGTGCCGGAGGACGACGAGTTTGAAGGTCTTGACGGCAGTGAAATGGCAGTGGATGGCCAGCCCTTGTTGGCACAAAACCTTGTGAACGGCAATGCCCAAAACGGTGTGCCTCCGCCCCCGCCGAACCATGTGCCTCCGGCCGGCGCTGTGCCCATGTTCGCCCAACCACTTGGACAGGCTCCCTTGTTGTTCAGCCCTACCAGCCCCAGCTTTCCGCAGTCAACTCGTTCACCGACGGCCGGGGGCCCGACAAATCACCCGCCGCCTTTGGTCATCTCGAGCCACTACTCCCCGACGAGTGCCGGACCCAGCACATCGACTGCAAACGCACTCTCGCCGCAAGGCACCAACCTTGGCTTCCCCGCATACACAAATCGGAGACCCGCACCACTTGGTGCCAGCACGGCATCAATGGAAGCGTCAATGTTGAGCCCCGTCTCGCATCGCAGTCGGCCGGCGAGTGTTATCTCCATGGAGGCGTCTATGCTGGGACCTCTGGACCCGGATATGATTGAGCCTACCACACCAAACGGACAACAGCAGCATTGATAAGCGAGAGGGCATTGAAGCAGGCTCGTATATCCTTTGGGGGAAGCGGTTGGAGACTATGATACGCTGGCATGAGATACGCAACGACAATATACCCAGGAGCGCGCGGGGAAACACCGGTACACAGAGGGTTTGGAACAGGCAAGGTGTCAGTTACCCTTTTTAACGCTTGGTTGGACTTTTTTTGGGGGGGTCCATGTAGCCTTTTGGCATTGTTTGGCATTGTTTGGCATTGTTTGGCAACGGTCTCAAGGATGCGTGCGACAAGCACAAGAGTATTCTATCTCGCGGATGGTTGTGCTTGGTTGTGGCCCTTTTGGCAGTCCTAGCTAGGCTGGAGATCAACACACGTTGGCCGTTTAGAGGCCAATTCTCATCGAACTGTTATTAGTCGGTGATAGACTATGGATGTTTCATTTCACTCTGTCCTCTCTGAGATTGGGAGCAACACGGCATATTGTAGGGGGGGCAAGGTTAGTTCGGCCTCGAGGCCGCGATATCAAATTAGCAAAGCATTGACATGGAATTAAAGTATTTGCTCGACCTGTACGAAATTTCTTTCTCTTTTCAGGTAAACTTGACGTTCCCGCCCATACTAAACGAATCGCAGGTGCGAATGGCATTGAAAAAGTTGTCCATCTCTGGAAGAATCCCAGAATATCTGATTTGATAGAACCGCTGTCTCCTCGCTATGCTATGCTAGCTATCCGCTATCACGATGTGAACCATTTGACTCCTGAGGCCCCGTGTGCCATGGTAATCGCATTTTCCGCCTCTCCAACCCTGGAAACTGGAAAGACAATGCATTCAGAATAGGCATGAAGCATATCTGCCCCATCATCCTCCCCCTTTACCAGAAGCCAGGAATGATCGGTCCGCCGTCCTGGACCGACTCCGCAAGCTTCTTGGCCACGAAGCAGTGCACCAGATCCCTCGACGCCAAGGCATCTTCCAGGCTGTCGTGACCGACCCTACCCTTTTGGATGTCACGACCAAGCATCTCGGATGTCAGCGCCTTGAGGGAGAGCCCGCCGGCCTTGCGCTTCTGGGGCTTCCTCTTGGCGAGACCTCCTCCCTCGTCGGTCTTTTCCAAGGATTCGGGCTTATCAAATGAGATTAGGTCTTCTTCCTCCAAGTTGACGCCGCCTTCGGCGACGGCTTCAGCAGCAGCCTCAGCGGCAGCTTTCTCGGCCTCCTTATTGGCTCTCTCCTCCTCCTCCTCCGCTTCCAGTCTCTCAGTTTCGGCCCGCACGTTAGTAGCGAGAATCAAGGAGTCCACCACCTTGGGGTGAATCCATCGCAGTGATGCGAGGTCGTTGTGGACGGCGTGTCCGACGACAATGGTCTCGGCGCTCACCCACTCCCACACGGCGGCCCTGACGTTGGCCAGCCCGCCAGTGATACACTTGCCCTTTGATCGCGCAGCCTGCATGTCTTGGCGGGAGACACCCGAGAAGCGCGTGTTGTAGTGCGCCATGCGAACCTGCGGGTAGACGAGGCTGTCGAGGAGGATCTCTGATGTGAAGTAGTCGACGAGGGTGACGCGGATGAGCTCAGATTCTCCGTCGTAGGCCACGCCCATTTCGCAGTCCATGGCGACGGCGAGACGCGGTGCCCTCTGAGCGGACGGCACGGTGTCAGTTCCCAGGTCCAGGAGGGCGTGAGTCGGGGTTTTGTGGAATTGGTGACGGTCGTGGATTTCACCCGAGGGATAGTTCCGGACGAGGTGCTCTGGAGCGTACGTGCAGCCTGGCTCGGAAACGTGGACTCTGCAGCAGTTCCAGCGCTATAGGCGTCAGCTCGGTTTGACAAACGGAATGAAGGTGAAAAGAGATGGAAAGTTACCATATTTATGACGCGGCCGGTGTGATACTGACACTTAAGGACCGGCTTTGCGGGCTTCTCGTCCCCTTTTGCGCCCTCGGGCTCCTCGTCGGCTATGGAAGAAGATCTGGTGAACGTTTTGGTCTTGGGCTGAACCGATGAGGACTTCGCATCGGCGTGTGGCCCTTTCCCATTCGATTTGAATTTGTTCCTGTTGTTGGAGCCTGCCTTAAAGTCAGTATCGTGATGGCGATGGTGAGGAATGACGTGGGGTCTGGAAGAGAAGAGCGGCTGATGCACAAATACTCACAGCGGAGGTTGCATCTGCGGCATCGCTTCTTATCGTCAATATCTCTCTCAGACAGTGGATTGAGGATGAAGCCGCTCTTGATGAGGATGTCTTTCCGATGGGCCATTGATCGGAGATGGTAGAGGTAGCTCTGGGTCGGCTCGATGACGAGGGACGGGGCCCCATACGGGTTTTGGGGTTGCTGGTAGAGAGCCATCTTGGTTGATGGTCCTGTCACCGACGACACCGTACTGCTTGTTTCTGTTCACGGTATCGAGGCTGTATAGGGAACAATTATCGTTGGTGGCTATTCGTCAGGCTGCGTCGATGAGTCGCCAACGCCAAAGAATGATGATGAAGAGTGTGCGGCGGTTGAGGCGGTGATGAATGAGCGTCGTCCAGACGCGACCTCCAGACTTTGAAGAATCAAACTGAAGCAGGTAGCTTCGGCAAGTTGACAAATCAGTGGTTATGGAAGGCAGAAGGCGAGGTTTTGATGCGGCAGCTGCGAAGGTGAGAAGTGAAGTGAGAAGTGAAGTGAGAGGTGAAATGAGAGGTGAAGTGAGATGAAGTGAAGTGAAGGCAGGTTCGGATTCAGCGCAGTGGCAGGCAGCGGAGGGAGGGATCCTGCAGCCAATTGTCTCTCATCTCATGTCGCGCGTCCCGTTTGGTCGTTTGCTCTTTCTCGCCAGTCACGCGCATGCCCGCGTTTTCTTCTCTTTCTGTCCATCTACTTCTTTCCCATCTTGTTCCGTTGGTTCACGTTGTTTCCTGAACGAGTATTTCCACTTCCAGGTGAGGCACACTGACGATGAATTTGGGGAAATCACAAGCCCCACTTTGGTTACCTGATGACCGGACGATATATCTGAACAAGAGGCTGGTACTGTTGGTGATGTGTGTATACGTAAGTAGTCACTCTACTTTTCATATGGTCGCAATTATTCTCAATCTCAAAAGCCGACTATGAGTCTCGATGGGAAGAGTTTGACATGGTCGGAATGTTGAAAAGCTGGCTACTAAGGGGCGAGTTGCTTTGCTGCGCGTCATACATGAGGGGCCAAAGGCTGTGCCTTTCACTACCACAGCTCGTCCGTCACGTTGGCCCGTAGCTATTTGCTATTTTCTATTGAGCCGTCTCCTGCTACAATTGTTGGAGTAATATCCCAAGTCGAGCCTTACTCTCAGGTGAACTCTGCGTTGGACAGTGATCCTGGTTGTAGTTGGTGAGTTACCTAGTCAGTAGGTCGGTCATTGGCTCTTGGAATTGAGATTATAAAATTGAAAGAGAAAAAATTGGGAAATGCCCTTCACAAGCCGAAACAGAGAAAAATGACATAGAGAGTGAGTTGAAATTGGCCGAATATCATTTCAAGGCCTTGAAAGTAAGCCCGGAGCCCCCTACCGGTATTGTATAAGGGTGTCGTGATGGAAGATTTAAGGTTGCCATCGCGCTTAGAAAAACCCCAAGAGCCCCAGGGTGGGAAATGTCCCAACTTTGCTATGCCAAGGCACCTGTCGGAGTGGTGAACAAGGCCTGGCATAGCCGTCTTATCAGAGTCCATGTTTCAGCCATTCATGACATTTCTGGTATGAGCGTCGAGACAAGTCAAGTTCACGCTCCACAGTGGTTGATTCGGTTCACATGCAGGAGGCCACCCGAAACTGGCAGACGTCATAGGCCGATGAGGCTTGACAATAGGCGCATCCTGTGGACTTCTATGAACAGCATAATCGAGTAAACCATATAGGAGTTGATTAGGGAATTAGGGAAGTAGGGTCAGATGACCCGGTAGCGGTTGGGCTCTCTCTTGACGAGGATCCTAGCCCCTTACAGCTCGTAGAGCGAGCCTGCGTATGAGGGAAACCGCATACCTCTAGCATAAGCGGAATAGAACGGGACTATCGCAAGCCAGAGTGTGGTCTGCTTCTCTGGCAACAGCTGCTGACTCTCTATTCAGCTTACCCCGCCATTCTGCTCATCCACATGGTGGGATAAATTGGTGATCATCTCGGTAACGCCCCCTTCACCGAATCTCACCAAGCTCACCTTGACCCGCTTGTTTACCCCAACTGCTGGCCCTACCTGTCGACGTTAATTCGACCCACTCAAACGCGCTCTCACGTCCGCGCGTGGAGGCTTCCCTCAAAACAATGCGCTAGAACTCTTTACATCATCTCCGACCACACCGTATCCATAAGCACAGAAATCTAGTGAAAACGATTACGGCCAGAAGCGGCTGATGGCTCATATCCCCACATATCGCCGAGCAGCCAAAGTCTTTACACCATTGCGGAAGCCGGTGACCTCTAGCACGGTAACTCTTGCAGATGTGATTGGGAGACGACGATCCCTTCTGCCTCGATCCACCGAGTCAATGTACCAGGCGCTGGATACATCGATGGCTTCCAAGCTCAGATGAAGCGGAAAGGGATTTACTGGAGTAACTAGCCTCTCTTCTGTCATCTGCCATACCACTGTTTGGACCCTAGGTTGAGTGTCGACCTCAGTGAAGTCTTCCGAGGAGTTACGCTTTCCATAGTACATAACCATTCGTGCCCAGCTAGAGTGGTCAACGAAGTCCGCAGGTAACTCAACCACGAGGCCACGAAGGCAAAAGGGAATGGTGCACGCATCTTCCCTCTCGTCCACCCAGAAACGTCGACTGACCTTAACGGGTTTCCTGAAATGATCACGGCAACCTAGACGATGGACAGTAAGCATCAACTCCTATCCTACCAACAATGCAGTGGCTGACAACATTTAACCGTAGCTAGTGTATTGATGGGTATTTGTGAGGCTCTAAAAGTCAATACCAATGGTGTTAGCGGCGGTGTCTTTAGGCATCAGATATGGTGCTTGACCTGTGGGCACCCGGATGATATAATTTGATCCTTGGGACTTCAGCCCACTTGGAATGCTGGCGGCGGCACTCACGGTCAAGACTCGTCGATCATCTGCTGCACAGCATTATGTAGCTTGGCCCGCAGTTGACCACCGTACTCGGTGATCACAGAGTAATGCCTATGTGCTTGCGGTACTTGCGTGATTGATCAGATCACTAGAAAGTATACGCACATAGACCTAACGGGCGGTAAAACACACGACCAGTCGCCAGTATCATCACTACCTTGGCTGTATCCCCTTCTTTATCGCCGCCACCCTCAACGCTCCTGGTGTATTCAATGCAGTTCATACCAGGGGAAGTGGGGATTAGGCAGGCTGATCTGACCAAAATCATGCTACCTTGGCCCCTTGTGATTGATCCCACCTGAATCCCCGCCTCTCAGGACTAACATCACAACAATCGTCTCCCAGAACAGCATCACGACCCTCAATCAACCACCACATCCCACCATATCAACGATACCTTGTTCGCGACACCACCAACAGAACTTACCAGGTCAATGGCCAGGGAGAATCTATCAGTGACCAGTTGAGATTCAGAGAATGGTAGAGTCCCAAAACACCATGCACAACGAAACCAAAGATAGCAAGACTAGGTGTTGGATTACGAGGCAGAAAAGGGGCCCTATTAGGTAGTTAGGTAGGGGTGGTAGGTAGGCAGTCTGGGCCCGTGCAGACGGACCCTTCCACCTACCTACACCCACTGAGGGATCGCGGGCTCTGCCCACGATCTTCCCCTCCTACACACACGCAATAGACCTATACTGACCTATTGACCTCGTCGCGACCGAAAGGTCTGACCTGCCTACGTGTATACCAACACTAGGGATGTGGTCACTTCTTCCATCGGCACTGCAGTTTCTCCTACATAAACTGCCGTGATAATCCTTGAGGAGACAACGCTAACTTGCACAGGTCTTTGAATCATCGCAATATATTCGACAGGAACTACAATACCCTTCATATAGTATCCAATCTGTAAGTCTGGAAGGAAATGCCATTATCAATACGTACACTTTCCACAGTATGAACAGCTCTCGGAACAGGCTGTGTAGTCACCTTCGTCATCGCTCCACTGAAGTCCATCCTCACCATCCGTACTCGGGCCATCCTGTGTATCATCTCCAGCTAGCCACATTGCCCACTCATCATTGACTTCACTAGAGAATGCGGAAGATAGTCCAGGGCACTGGTTCCGAATCTCGAGTCTGTCGAGATGTTGGCGGCTGAGCTCAAGCCTGTCATTCCTCTGTGCACGAGCAAGGCGGACAATGTGAGACAGGAGCGCCGCTAGTCGAGAGAGCTCCGGGTTCTTCGATGTCTCCCAGGCTTTGACCTCCTGAACCACATCCATGACCTCAATATCCTTGAACGTGCCCCTATCATGGTAGGCCAGGATGAAGTTAGGAATCTGGGCAACCCATAAACGCGGAAGTTCCTCGCCAAGGAAATCACTGCCTTTGCGCTTAACTGACCGAGTCTTGAGATCAAAAACTGCACATTGGGGCACCTCAAACCCGCCACTCTTCAGTTGTACTTGCTGAGATTGGTCTTGCGGAATCCCTGGTGCCGTCTCCTTGACTTTGAGGTTTTCGATCAGGCTGTCGACTGAAACGTTTTCAACAAAGGCGGTGCGGGTATCGTTCGTAGAGGAGCCTTGTTTATGTTGGAGGTAGCCATCACCCTCGTGACGAACAAGGCAACGAAGCCCCCCAAAGTCGTATTGAATGATCCGCTGATGAGATGTTGAACCGCGGACTTCAGAATCCCAAGTCGTGTAAGCCTCTGGAAACTTGTGTCCGTAGCCCCTGACATCAGACATTGTCTCTTTCGGGGAATTTTCCCTACGGATTAGGTGGACAGCATCGCCAACCACCTCGAGGAGCATCCGGAAGGGTCTCTCGTCACCTAGGATGAAGCGGAGCAAGTTCCCGATGGTACTACCGCAGGCAACGATGTCAACGGGCCTGGGAGAGGGCTCGGGGTGTGCCATCAGGATAGCTTGGATGGCGGGCTCCATCGGATGAGCTGGGTGTCGAGCAGCGTTCTTGTCACGGTAATAGACACCGTCGTCTTCTGACAGTTGTCGAGGTTCCGCGAGGGGTGTCCATCTGGGTGGCGCACCTGAATTCATTAATACCACCATGCCCTCGGACGAGTACAGTAGCACTACTCACCTGGGACGATGACTGACGGCGATGTCCCGTCCAGCCAGTTATACGACGCGACAAGCTGGCAGCCCGTCACCCGGGCAGTTGATTCAAAGTCCAAGGCAGGCTTAGACAATTCTGCTACACTGACAGTCTCTACGAGTGGCCCGAATGGTGGCGCCGGCCATGTCGTCGCAGGTTCTGACCGCCGCCATCGCGGGTTTCTTTGAAGCTGGTCATGTTTCTGTCGTCGATACATTACTTGGTGCAGGAACGGAGGACTTTGAGGAGCCAGGGAACTAGATGGGAACTATGAGACAATCAGAAACGACGAAATAGTTGGTAACCATATTGATGTTAACCTCTTTTTAATGGCGGCTCGCTCTGTGGATGGCGAACCAGTCATCGAGCTGCGAGGCGGCCTCTTGCAGCCTTCATGCCGGAGGCCTACAACCCCTCATCTCGCGACCCAATCTTCGAGAAGAAAGCCTACTCTTGGTGGTATTTCTACTTGCTTATTACTCTAGGTCCCCAACATGTTGGCTCCCAACAGAAAACGTTGAAGCCTAACCTTGCTTACTTACTTACTTATACTTGGGCCAACCGTGGCATGTGACGACTTCTTCGTTGATCGGCCGGAAAACCGCACTGAGAACGAGATCGAGCCATCTCTTTCGGCACTTATTCACTGCAAAACGTCATATGCTTCCAGAATCTGAGCTTGAAAGCTCTGCGAGTCGCTAAAACATTTTCCATCAATTCCTTACGAACGAGATCATGGTCCTGCTCAAGTCAGAGAGTGTCATTGCCACTCGAAAGATTGATTCTGCTCGCGCTTCCCGCCTCTTGAAAGTGTTCAGAGATGTCACTAAAGGTGGCAAAGCAATTTACACGGCAGTCGAGGCACGTCTGTTCCTCGAGGCAGTTCGAACGAACACCTCTCCCGCTGCCTGCCTGGAGATCATCACGGCTAGTGAGGTTGCACGCAATGCCATCAGCAACAGCATCCGGATCGATTCGTCAATCTCTTTCATGAGGGCACACGTTATACCATTCATTGCCTATTTGAGCGACCCCGGAGTGAAGATGATGTACGGTGGGCAGCTTCTTCACCAAGTCCTACTCATCATCGCCTACCCACCAGCCCTCTGGGGAAAACTCCTGAGCGCTTTCCGAGAGTCTCAACTTACCGAAGACGAGCTTCAAGTCTTTGCGTGGCTCTGCTTCGAACTTTCCGGTCTTTCTGACAGCATAATCGATACCATCGTAGAGGACATCACGAACGCCTTGGACGAGAAGCCGTTTTGCGAGGCTCGGAACCATGGGACTCGTGACCTCGTCTACAGGATCAGAAAAGTACTCGCTCTCAGATCGTCTTCTGGCGATGAGAACCTCGAGGCAGCCGGTGGCCGCCATGACAATGACTTTTCGAGCTTTCGAGATATCTCAATCTTTCCAACGAGTGACGAGTTCTACTCCAATGCCAAACCTTTCTATCGAATGGCAGCCGAGGTTGCTGCCGCAGGTCAGGTTCAGCGACCGCGTGTTCATCTGGATAACCAGTTTCGCCTTCTTCGTGAAGACATGCTGGGCGAACTCCGTGATGATTTTAAAGTAGCTATGGGAAGAAAGAAGAGCAAGAAGAGGGCCCAGATACTCTCAGGATTGTTGCCTGTTGGCATTGACACCGGCGATGATAGGCGAAGCCGTGCTTGTGCGGTCGCGCTTACATGCCTCGGGGGACTGGAGATCATAAAGAAGCTATCACCGGCCAAATGCAAGGCCTTCTTTGATGACCACAGAAATTTCCTTCGACACCAGTCTTTCGGCGCTTTATGTGGTGAAGACCATATTGTCGCGTTCGCATTCCTGCTACGGGACGTGGACCAATTGTCGAAGAAGCCCCCCATCGTCACCCTGCAATTCACTGATAGTGAAGCTACTGCAAGAGCTTTGCAGGCACTTACACCGTCAAACAATCTCAGGTTCGTTCTTGTAGATACTCCGGTGTTTGCCTACCAACCCGTTCTGGAGTGTCTTCAGGAAATAACAGAGTTGCCTCTCGCAGAGAGGCTTCTGAGACTCCCAAACGATGAGAAAAGTCAACCACAAGACTTGCTTCAGCAAACTTCTTACGTCCAACAATATGTGAGAAGGTTGGAAGAGATGATGAAAAGTGGATCACGCTGCCTTTCCTTGGGCACGCAGACTTTCCGACTCGATGATTCTCAACTTCAATCGTTGCTGCATGCGTTACAGAGCCCTTTGGCACTCATCCAAGGCCCTCCTGGTACGTTACCCTCAGTCATTTTCAACTGAGACACATATATCACACTTTAAATATGTGCGAAGTTAACCGAACTCCAGGAACTGGAAAGTCATTCGTTGGCGCCTTGGCAGCTAAGATACTGCTGGGAGATCCGGAAAAGCGAATTCTGGTGCTGAGCTACACCAACCATGCCCTAGATCAGTTCCTCGAGGATCTGATGAAAATTGGCATTTCATCCGGTGATATGGTGCGCTTAGGATCGAAGTCAAAGGAATCAACTTCAGCCCTGTCACTGGAGAAGCAATTGCGAAGTTACGCCTACCGTCGAAATAATGCAACGTGGGAACACATCAACGGCATGAAAACAGAGATGGATGAAGTTCGAAGAGAGATGGGGTCGGCATGCGACCTTCTCGTCCGGGACAAGGTTGGTTCTTTGGAGCTCTTGAGCTTTCTCGAGTTCTCCGACGATGACCAGCTATTTTATGAAGCTTTTCTCTTACCCGAGCAAGACAGAGGCTTCAAGATCGCAGGCAAAAGTAACAGAGCCATGGGTCCCGACTATCTGCTGGGCCGGTGGATTACGGGACAAGATGCCGGTGAACTCCGACACTTCGTCTCGTCTGGAAGCCACGATATCTGGTACTTATCAATGGCTCAGAAATCTGCACATATCCAACGGTGGGTTGAGTGCATTCGCAAGGAACGAATCGAAGCAGTCCAGAATCTCATCAAGAGATTCAATGAAGCCCAGGAGCAAGTGGACAGGCTGTTCAGAGAGTCCAAATGCTCCTTTATGCAAACGAAGAGAGTCGTCGGATGTACAACAACCGCGGCTGCCATGTACAAGTCGCTGATCAAGGCTGCAAAGCCCGATGTCGTTTTGGTTGAAGAGGCTGGTGAAATCCTCGAGGCTCACGTTTTGACTGCTTTGCACAGCGACACAAAGCAGCTCCTACTAATCGGGGACCATAAACAACTGCGACCCAAGATCAACAACTATGCTCTAAGCGTCGAAAAAGGAGACGGCTTCGATCTCAATCGCTCGCTCTTTGAACGACTGATTCTCCAGGGACACGACCACGTCACACTCCAAAAGCAGCATCGCATGCATCCCGATATCTCGGATCTTGTCCGGAAGATGACATACCCGGATCTATTGGACGGTGACAAGACCAAGGATCGGAAGCCTCCCAAGGGATTTCAGGGAAGAGTCAGCTTCGTCAACCACAGCCACCCAGAAGACCTGGCCGGCGATATTACCGATCGCCGCGACGTTGGTGTCGTCTCTAGTAAGAGCAATCTTTATGAAGCGCGAATGGTTCTGAAGCTAGTCAAATACCTTGGGCAGCAAGGATATCGCACTGAAAACCTCGTCATTCTCACGCCATATCTGGGACAATTGCGCCTACTCAGAGAAATCTTGAGCTCCGAGAATGACCCTTGGCTCAATGATTTAGATTCGTTTGAGCTCATTCGCGCGGGACTCATGACTGCTGCCGCCGGGAAAGTGCACGACGGATCAGGATCAGGAAGAATCAAACTTTCGACTATCGGTGAGTTCAAGAGACTTTCGGCCAATGAAGTCTGAAGACTGAAGCCTTACCTATTTCTGCCTATAGATAACTACCAGGGCGAAGAGAGCGACATCGTCATTGTTTCTCTGACCCGGAGCAACAATGATGGCGACATCGGATTCATGAAAGCGCCTGAGCGGCTCAATGTTCTATGTTCTCGTGCGAGAGAGTGTCTCATTCTCTTCGGCAATATGGAAACCTTCATGGCATCTGGGCACGGAAAAGCAGTCTGGTTGCCTTTCTTCGCCTTACTGAAGGAGAAGAATTATCTACATGATGGATTCGCAATCAGCTGCCAACAGCACACTGGCAGGACCGCATTGCTCAAAGAACCGGACGACTTCGATATAAAGTGTCCTGAAGGTGGCTGCGACGAAGCTTGGTAAGTCTCACCAAGAAGCTCAATTTGACGTAAAAGCAGGACCTATGCTAATAGATGGAACTTGCATGTAGTAACGTCATGTTGTCTTGCAACATACATAAGTGCCTTCGCCGGTGCCATAGACTCATGGATCATAGCAAGATCAGTTGTCACACAAAGGTCGCAAAACACTGCGACAGGGGACATATGTACAGCGTTGACTGCAACAACCAAACTCAAAAATGCGTCGAATGCTTCAAGGAGGATGAGAATAGTCGGAGGCGCTTGAAGCGCGACTTGCAGATGGAAGTGGATCGCGATGTGGCACAGAAGAGATACGCTCAAGACCTACAAAAGGTAGAAGACGACTTGGATCTTCAGAGGAGACTGATAATGAATGAACAAGAGGACCTCGAGCAGAACAGGACTCTGAAAGAACGCAGAGAAGAACTCAGAGCTCTGCAGCAGACGAGAGCTCGTGCTGAGATGATTAAGGCTGCCAGAGAAGCTCCCAAGAGAGTTCCGGGTGCTTTTCCAGATGAACGAAAACCTACAGCGAGCCCAGCCCCAAAACCCGGAAGCGCAGAGGAAGAGTGGCTGAATTTGAAGTCGAAATTCGGTGCTAGCAGCAGTGCCATGGATCAACTCATGAAGATGATCGGGCTCGAGAGCATTAAAGAGGAGTTCCTCTCCATCAAGTCCAAAGTCGACACGGCGGCGAGACAGAGGATTTCATTGTCGACGGAGAGGTTTGGCTGCTCCCTCTTGGGGAACCCCGGAACAGGTAAGGCTCAATCGCAGTAACAATAAGTGTCATTCGGTGGCTGATATGTTGATCACAGGCAAAACTACCGTAGCACGGATCTTTGCCCAATTTTTGGTGTCGGTGGGCGTCATAGCTGGCAGTCGCTTCGAAGAGACGTCTGGATCGAAACTAGCATCTCTAGGTGTGCCTGGCTGCCAGAAGCTGTTAGATGACATTTTGAATGACGGCGGTGGTGTGATCTTTATTGACGAAGCATATCAACTATCCTCAGGCAATAGTCCCGGTGGCCGCGCAGTCCTTGATCTCCTGCTCGCGGAAGTTGAGAACCTTACCGGCAAGATTGTCTTCGTTCTCGCTGGGTACAACAAACTGATGGAGTCTTTCTTCGCGCACAACACTGGGTTTCCAAGTCGGTTTCCGATTACGATGAAGTTTGACGACTACGATGATGACGAGCTTCTGAAGATCCTTCAGTTCCAGATTGACAATAAGTACGGATGCCGCATGAAGTGGGAAGATGATCTCTATCTCCGCATCGCCTGTCGTAGACTTGGACGAGGGCGCGGAAAGGAAGGGTTTGGCAATGCGCGAGCAATTGAAAATCTCCTTTCCATTGTCTCCAGCCGGCAGGCCAATCGAATTCGGAAGGCTCATCGAAGGGGCGCGAACCCGGACGATCTCCTGTTCACAATGGAGGATTTGGTCGGACCTGAACCTTCAGTTGCCCTCGAGCACAGCAAAGCTTGGGGGAAATTACAGACCTTGATCGGCCTTAGTTCAGTCAAAGAATCAGTTCGAGCCTTGATCGATAGCATCCAGACCAACTATGTTCGCGAGCTGGCGGAAGAACCCATCATCGAGTATACGCTCAATAAAGTCTTTCTCGGTTCGCCAGGAACGGGAAAGACCACTGTCGCCAAGCTGTACGCCCAGATCCTTGTTGACTTAGGTCTGTTATCTAATGGAGAGGGTAAGCTGGTGTACCTGAAGTACCTAGGAGTTCTCATGCTGACATGGATGCTTCACAGTGATTGTCAAAAGTCCGGCGGACTTCACGGGTGCTGTACTAGGAGGCTCCGAGGCCCAGACCAAAGGCATATTAGCGTCGACCGTCGGTAAGGTTCTCGTCATTGACGAGGCTTACGGATTATACGGGGGCAGTAACTCAGCTTGGGGAGGTTCTGACCCCTACAAGACTGCCGTAGTAGACACCATTGTTGCTGAGGTCCAAAGTGTTCCAGGAGAAGATCGATGTGTTCTTCTTCTGGGTTACAAGGACCAGATGGAGGAGATGATGCAGAACGTCAACCCGGGCTTAAGTCGACGATTTCCATTGTCGTCAGCCTTTATCTTCGAAGACTTCGAGAAGGCAGACATGCGGAAGATCTTGGACCTCAAACTCAAGTTACAAGGATTTTCCGCTACTGATCAGGCCAAGCAAGTCGCCTCAGAGATGCTCGAGAGGGCCCGCAACCGACCAAACTTTGGCAATGCAGGAGAAGTGGACATTCTCCTGAACGAGGCAAAGGCACGTCATCAGCGACGACTGACAGCTAAAGAAAGCCATCACGTCTCTACCCTTGAAGCTCTGGACTTTGACCACGACTTTGACCGCGCAGATCGGGCTCAGACCAATGTTGCCAAACTCTTCGAGGGGACCGTTGGTTGCGAGAAGATTGTCGCCACCCTTGAGGGATACCAGGAGACTGTACGTTGTATGAAGGCACTGAATATGGACCCTAAGGATAGTATTCCTTTCAACTTCATCTTCCGCGGCCCTCCAGGTACGGGCAAGACCTCAACAGCGAGAAAGATGGGCAAAGTCTTCTACGATATGGGGTTCTTGGCCAAGGCAGAAGTTATTGACTGCTCTGCATCTGATCTCATCGGCGAATACATCGGCCACACCGGCCCTAAAGTGCAGCAACTCCTGGAAAAGGCTCTTGGAAAAGTACTGTTTGTCGATGAAGCTTACCGTCTTGCGGAAGGACAATTTGCCAAAGAGGCAGTTGATGAGGTTGTCGATTCGGTGACGAAGGACAAGTACAAGAATCGCCTTGTAATAATCCTAGCTGGATACGACGAGGACATCAATCGGCTACTTTCAGTCAACCCGGGAATGTCAAGTCGGTTCCCAGAAGTCATCGACTTCCACAGCCTTAGCCCCGAGAGTTGCTACGAACTTCTGCTGCAGATTCTAGATAAGCAGAAGGGAACTCTTCATAGCAAGAATTCATCTAATAATCTCGTAATGGATTGTATATCGAATCCATCGCCCGATTTCAAGAGGGAAATTGTCGCTACGTTTCACAAACTCACTACAACCGCCGGATGGGCTAGCGCCCGAGATGTGGAAAGCCTTGCCAAGTCGATTGTTAGCATCGCGATCAAGTCTTGCCGAGACCGACGGGTGACAATCGACGAAGATCTTGTAAAGCAAGAATTCTCCAAGATGCTCGATGAGCGCGAAAGCCGGGAGAAGCAGGCAGGGACCATGCGTGGCGTGCCCAAGCTCGAGCGAATATTCCAGCAGATGTCATTACCCCCTCGAACACAAAGCATGCAACCAACAGCTTATGCAAAAACCGCCCCCGAAGCGACTGAAGAGGGAGCAGAATCAACGCCTCCCGAGTGTCCAGTGGTGGAAGTCAGTGATGAGAGTCGAGTAGCAAAACGCGACGCCGGTGTCAGCGATGAGGTCTGGGAACAATTGGAGAGGGACAAGAGGGCTCAAGAGGAAAAGGATGCCAAGTACCGAGAAATGCTCGAGAAGAAGCGCAAAGCAGTGGGGGCTGCCAGGGACGCAATTCTCAAGGAGCTCATTGAGGAAGAAGAGCGACGGAAGAAAGAAGAAGAGCAGCGCAAGAAAGCCGCGATGATGGGCCGATGCCCCATGAATTTTGAGTGGATCAAGCAGAGTACGGGGTTCCGGTGTGCGGGAGGTTCACATTTCATCTCTGATGAGGATATTGTATGTTCCTGATGCGATTGCGCTTATATCGCATAGTTAGAAGTTACTGGACCAAGAAATAATTCACACCTTTGGATTCTCATTCCTGCTGTAAGTATCGCATATTCTCAACCACAGTAGGCTTGAAATGTACACATTTCGTAGCCCATACTGGATTCCATGTCTGGATCCTTGGACTAAGGCACGGAGGTCACAACGCCAAAAAACCTGAACCGAGGTTGTTTCCAACATCATCCTATGACATCGGAATTACTAGATTTTGAACATCATGAGATTGTGCTATTCATACCCAGTGTTCGCGTGAGAAAATGTAGCAGGTATATTGCTTCATTCCAATTATGCATATAGTATGCTTCTACTTCACGCTTATACTTGTGCGTCGTAAGATTCGATCGCCGAAACGGCGGAGTCCCTTAGAGACTCAATAACTCCATGATGTTGATCGCGAGGATCAAACACAGCTTTCTGGGGTTGTCGTAAGAGGACTAGCACACTAAGTAGGGTGCTGGCAAGATGGAGACGTGAAAGGAGACAAGGATCGACTGACAGAGTCCAGGATCGAGATGCGATTGGGTCAACAGAGCAGCGGCTCCGAGTGCCAGAGACACGTCTCGGTTGACTTGGGACCCTGGCCACCCCGCCCTGTCAGTATTCGATTCAAGGTCTACCATGTAACATCGAGCTGCCAGGGATCACGGGAGCGTCGCCAGTCCTCCGAAGAGCAGACCAGACCGGGGTGACACGCCGTCTTCAATGCTAGCGCGCGGTCGATCGGCTGGCATATAATCCTGGGGAACGTCATTGCAGTTGTAGGCAGTGGCATTGTGGTTATCAGAGACAGGAGTAATTAACAAAAGGGTTCGATCCCACGCGGGGTAAGTTCTGTCACGAGAATACTATGTGGGGAAGACAAACGGCATAAGTTCTTCTTAATCATAACATACTGCATAGTACTCAACGACTGGACTTGTCTTGATGTTGAAATGCCAACACTTGTCAGCTGTTGTCAGGGGTGGGTGGTCAAACCACCATCGGGCGCCGCGGCATCACAAGATAAAAGTTCAGAAAGGCGACTCGCCTGCCGCGCATGACAGCCCTATAGGCTGTTGACATACGTGAGTAAGGTTTCGCCAAGTTGGCCAATACGTGGGGGCCCGAAGCCTGGTAGGCTTGCGTAGTAGGATTTTCTGTCCTCAAAGAAAGTAAACGAGGATCCAGTGGAGAGATCTACGAAACCAGGCTATGCCGCTGCGACGTGAGGTTTGCAGCTGGGTCTGTCGTAAGATCGACGCTAGATATGTTTCACTAAATGCTCAAATCCGGGGAATCTGGCAATGCTCTGCCCACTGCACGTCAGGTAACGTCCAACATAGACATTGATGCTAGTATTGCTCCGATACGAAGGAGGCCGCTGAGTTCTGCTATATTCGAACGAGCGGTGACCCAGCGCGCATCCTGACTCAACATGTGCAATGTCAAGGCCGGCCGTAGATGTTGATGTGTCAAACATGGCTAGCACGGTATAGCTAAGTCGTAACGATCGTAAACGATGATCAAAGTATTGAACAGTCGCTGGAATAAAGAACGAGACCCATCACGAAAGGAACAATTTAATCGGTAACTGTGATAGTGAAAGAAAGCCTCAATGATGATTTGCTACAGGCTAAACAAGCTGTAAGGAGTATCCCGGTCTGTACTTTATTCCTCGTCCTCCTCTGCTGCGTCTTCTGCCAAATCGACCACGTTCGCCTTCGTCGCACCTCCAGCCGCACCACCAGTAAGACCACCGAGAAGGGCACCGATTCCTCCAGCGCCACCAGCGCCCGCCGCACCGCCAGCTGCACCTCCCGTGAGACCTCCGAGGAGGGCACCCAAGCCTCCGGCGCCGGCGGCGCCACCAGCACCGCCCGCACCACCACCGAGAAGACCACCGAGCAGACCCTCAATACCCCCAGCGGGGGCCTTGGGAGCAGCAGCGGGTGTCTTTGGGGCAGCAGGGGCAGCAGCAGGAGTCTTGGGCTTAGCGGGAGCAGCAGCAGGGGGAGCAGTGGTGTTAGTTGCAGGTTTGGCTGGAAAGCAAGAGTACCATGGTTAGTATTCGATTATGTTTAACTTCTCGGACGGACGGACGGAAACGGGGGAGGCGCGGGGGACGGCGCGCGACGGAGGGGGGGTGCTCTACGCACCACCAGCGGGAGCGGCACCACCAGCGGAGTAGGCCTGGATGCCCTTGTCGAGGGCGGCAGTAATCTGGTCGATGCTCTGCTGTGCGATGCCCTGGCCGATAGCGGGAACCTTGGAGACAATGGCGGTTCCGAGGCTGGCGGAGGCGGTCTTCTGTTGCTGGAGGTTCTGGAGGACAACGCTGGAGACACCAATCTGGTCGAAGTTGGGCTTCTTGGAGACGAGAGTGTCGATCAAGGTGGTTGCGGACGAGGTCAGATCGGTAGCGGTCTGCTGAAGTCCGAGAGCCTCCTGAAGCTGAAGAGGCTGAGCACCCTGAATGTCGGTGGCGGCCTTTGACAGGGTGTTCTGGACCTCGGTGGAGGCAGCCAGAATGGGTTGTGCAGATGCAACATCGTTACCAACGCCCTGAAGCATGCATGTTAGTCAAAATGTCCGGTGTGCTATGTTCCTGCATATCCCATCTCTGCACCAGATCGAAGCCGAAGCTTTCCGACGGTACCGTATGCCCGATCTTCGGACTAACATACCTGGACAGCGGTGTTGAGCTTGGTGAGAGCTCCCTGGACGGAGGTGACGGCGCCCTGGATGACGGAGAGTTGACGCTTCTCGATGGGGGAGGCGAAGGCGGTGCCGACGAGGGCGAAGAGGAGAGTCTTGGTCAGCTGCATTTTGGTAATAAGTCACTAGCCAGAGTGATCTGTTGTGGTATCAAGGGATGATTAGAGAATAGAGTAAGATGCAGAAACAAGTCTCCAACCCGGGAGTATATAAGTAAGAAGCGTTGGAAAAGTCTGTGCTGACAAGGTTTGATGGATGAGGATGCTTTTTCATCCCCGATTGTGAGCCGGGAACTATCAAGCTGATATATGAGTGACCGGATGGCTGCGCGCTGACCTCATATGCCACGGGCAAAAGCAGTGAAGCACATCTTGGTGAGTTCACCTCGGCAGCAACTCTAAGTCCCCTGCACCAAGATAGGCCCAATATACGCACAGCCCCCGGAGCCTGAGACGATGGAAACCATAGAGGTGTGGATATTATTATCGCACCAGACCAACGGCACCACGGCTTGCGGGCAGTTTCTTCGGACGTCTCAAGGTGTTCGAGAGCCCTCCCTTGTTTCTGTGGTGGAGGAGGGGCACGGATTACGTGCCACGTTGGGCCCAGTCTTCACGTCCAAGTCAGCTGCATCATCTTGGCTGTCGTCGTTGAGTTGAGGGGAGCAGCACTAGTTTCCATGGCGTATTGGCCATTATGTCGCCCCCCCTACCGGTGTGTATTGACGGATCCAGGATTGCGCCATGTCAAAGTGTGTGCGAATTTGTGTTATGTCTGCCGTTGGTGTGGGGAGGAAAATAGTCAGTTGTGCGCGCTTGCGAGCGTTGAAGTTCAGATGAAACGAAACTCGGCCGTGTAAGTCGTCTCACAAAGTCGACTGCAGCTACCATTTGGGAAAGGCACAAGGAGCCCCATGTCTGAGCGGCAACGTTTGTTAACGAAATCGTGAGACGTTTGGAGACGTTGAGATTCCCATGCCAAGGACCTCCCTCCGGACAATGTGTGGCAATGGGGGAAGACCGCAGGGTTGAGGCTCTGTCTTCTTCTCACCATCTTACCGTTTTGGGGTTGGTTTGCACCACCACACCTCTTCACCAACGATTCGAGTCAGAGAGTCAAAGAACTTCAGGCGCGACGACATCTGTCATTCGCCGATGGCTTACAGGGACTTGCCGACGATCTGGGCACTCAAATGCAGCAAACAACTCATCACCCCAGAGCCCATCACCCAGCCTCCCGCGCACAAGCCAGGGAAAGGTCTTCAGGACCAATGTATGGGTTTCCTATTCGGGTAATCTAGAGGAGAAACTCTCTCCAGGTTGGTGGGCTTCGCGTAACCGGGATGGCCTCCAAACAGGTTCAAACGGGGTCAGGCTCTAGATCGCCGCAAGGGTTAAGAGGGCAGAGACCAAGCACTAGTTGACGGCCCACGGCTCACGGCTCTGCGCCAAAATGGCACTAGATTTAACCTTAGCACTAAGGGAAACGGGGTAAGATGTATGAGGAAACTACCGATCCCCACGAAAACGAAGGCCAGTATGGCATCTCTGGCTCCACCAGGGTACCTATTGCCTCTCGTGGCTTGCAGATTCTTCATCTGGGGAATGCGCGGCATCGTCTTGGCCGGTCATACCCTGTGCAGCTGGGCAAGCGATGATGTCGCCGCCGGTTTTGGCGTGTCTTGGTCGCATATGGCCTAATCGGCTGACAAGGCGTGACGGATGATCGGCTGCCACCCATATCCAGCGACGCAAGGCCCCTCCGTTCATTGACAAACATCGAACCGGAACACGACAGGAAGGCCGGAAGACCAGAGCAGAGACTGCCAAGACAGAAACAGATTGGCCCCGTCGGTCTCTGTTGCCCAATGACCCTGCATGATGGGCTATGCGTCGCCTCCTTCGACCACCCATTTCCCTCTTCTGGCAATTCATGAGTCGCCTGGAAGCAGAACAAGAGGCAAAGGGGGGGGGGGGTTGCAAATTGGCAAACGCGGCTTTGGGGTTTGGTGTTTGGTTGCAGACTGCGCGGGAACACGGCCTATCCGTTCCCTTCAGGGTCGCTGCAGAGAGAGAATGGAACGCGGGAATTGTTCGAGAAGACTGTCAGACAGAGCCGTGGTAGTGCCGTTCTCAGGTTATGTCCCTGACTACATCGAGTCGAGAGCTTGATGCCGATGCGAGTGCGATTATTCGCCGTACCGGAATGGCGGCAAAGGCGGCCAACGAATGGGACGAAAACCACTGAGTAAGCTGATGTGACAGCCA